AGGACAGAGAACTATTGTCTACAGTGAGAGGACAGAGAACTATTGTCTACATGTAATAGGTGCAGTGTTTTGCATTGTTTAGTTTCTCTGTTATTCTGAAAGTCTACGTGAGAATTGTGGAGTCTTAGAACACAGAAGGGTTCAGTTTGCACACACAACAGATGGTGAAGTGTATTCAAGATTTTTTTCTGCTGGTGTGTGTCTCTTGGTCTGGTGGCTGGTAGTGAAACTTGATTTGCATGTTTTGTGTATAAACACAGCCTCAGCGGTTCGGTCCTACTGTACTTGTTGCAGCAGCTGCTCTTGTTGTGCTTGTATAAAGTCGCAGACAAAGGTGCATTCAGGAGCCAATTAACAGAATTAGGATGTGGGTTGTTCTGGTGACAGACAACCTCTGGCTGATTAATCTGAATCCCTGCTCCTTGATTGGCTGGCTGACACACTGACAGCAGACCAACTTCGTCTTGGACTGACCGTTGGACCTGAGTGCAGTCGGAGCTGTTGCCTAGTTTCCGATTACCTGGCTGCTTGTCCAGCCAGCAGCCGCACACACTGACTGATTGGCCGCCAGACTAATTGACTTGCAAAGAAGAAGGCAGCAATTAGAGGTGAGGAACACCAGGAGCTCGCACCACCCAGCCGTCCTCCACTGATGACACTCTGATTGCAATCAGGCAAACAAGATCTGCATGGAACGCACAAACAAACAAAACACAAGCTCAAAACGTCTCACAGTGTGTAGTCATGTGACTAACACACACACACACACACAGTGAGCAGAACGTGCACACACAGAGCAGAACCAGGACAGGATGCACAGGCCTCCAACTTGCCTGTTAACATTTCTTCACTCAGGTCCAGAGAGTGTACCGTCAGTGTACAGTCAGTCTGTGGACTGTCAGTCTGTGTACCGCCAGTTATCATAGATCCAATTATGTTTCTGTGGAGGTAAGAGGGTCCTGCTTCACCCTGACTACTTGTTGAAAAAAAATTATCAAATTCATTGTTGAACAATTCAGATGGTACTGCATGCAAAAAAGGGGCTCTGTAATGCTCCTTTTCCACTGTGACGGCACGGATTGGGTCAGCTCGGCTCAGCTGTACCCGTCTGTCTCTGCTGCACCCGTCTGTCTCTGCTGCACCCGTCTGTCTCTGCTGCTCAGAAAATCTCCGCTTTAAATTTGATTGTTTGTTATTTCCAGGCAGCTGTAGGTGAACGACAGGGAGGAGGCAACGAACAAGAACCAGAGAACGCCACAGTTTAACCTGGTCTGTTATGCACCTCCTCCTGCTGCAGGAAGGATGGAGGATGAAGGAGGAGAAGGGTGAGAAGAGGGAGGGGAGCTGGGGGAGTAAATGAGATGCCAAGGTATGTTAGCGTTGAGGAGTGAGGAATGAGAAGAGACCTGAAGGAGGACACACACACACACGTAGTGATACCTGCTAAGTCAGCTTTAAAAGAAGAAGAGGAGCATGACATGTTTCTGGACAAGAAGAAGATCAAAGGAACAAAGACGGAACATTGCAGAGAAGAACGCATATAGACCACTGCGGGACGGAGAAGCATCAGGACCACAGACGGACGGAGAAGCATCTAGACCACTGAGGGAAGGACAAGCATCAGGACCACTGCGGGACGGAGAAGCATCTAGACCATTAAGGGACATAGAAGCATCTAGACCACTGTGGGACAGAGAAGCATCAGGACCACTGACAGACTTAGTAGCATCAGGACCACTGCGGGACAGAGAAGCATCAGGCCCACTGACGAACGAAGAATCATCAGGACCACTGCGGGACGGAGAAGCATCGGGACCACTGCGGGACGGAGAAGCATCAGGACCACTGCGGGACGGAGAAGCATCAGGACCACTGTGGAACGGAGAAGCATCAGGACCACTGACGGACGGAGAAGCAGCTAGACCACTGAGGGACGGAGAAGCAGCTAGACCACTGAGGGACGGAGAAGCATCAGGACCACTGACGGACGGAGAAGCATCAGGACCACTGTGGAACGGAGAAGCAGCTAGACCACTGAGGGATGGAGAAGCAGCTAGACCACTGACAGACGGAGAAGCAGCTAGACCACTGATGGACAGAGAAGCAGCTAGACCACTGATGGACAGAGAAGCAGCTAGACCACTGATGGACAGAGAAGCATCACGACCACTGTGGGACAGAGATGCATCAGGACCACTGAGGGACAGAGACGCATCAGGACCACTGAGGGACAGAGAAGCATCAGGACCACTGAGGGATGGAGACGCATCTAGACCACTGACAGACGGAGAAGCATCAGGACCACTGAGGGACAATCAGTAGTGATGAACAAATGAAGCTTTTATGAAGCACTGAACCAGTTGGGCCAATTGTTTCAAAAATGGGTTCATTTGTTGAAGCTTCAGTTACACTGACCTCTTGTGGCAATTTGCAATGCTGCTGTCAAATTAGGCTTTTGGAGGCACACACCAAGAACTTCAGTGACTAGTGTTAAAGAAACTACTTTACTGTGGTAAAAACAGGTTGTTTAAATTCATCAACTTTCTATGTTGTCTGGTTTGAAAATTTATTCATGCTTACAGGTTTTTGAATAAAGATTGATAAATGTGCACTGAAGAGATTTAATAAAAATGTTGCAAAGGTATTGTGCTTGTGTAACTGTGACAGAGTCCGAGTCTTTATCGTTCTTAAAATATCAATGAAATGACGTCTCCATCATCTCCATGTTTGGAGCTGAAGTGTCTGATCATAGAGGAGGGACTGTAGTGAACTAGACCTCCGACCTCAACCTGTCTCTGAAGACCTTCAGGGGACAGGAACTGCTATTTCATTGATTTGAATCCAGAAATACAAATTATCTCATCAAGAGACTATTTAATTGTATCCTGAATTAATCAATTGAAAGAACACTCTTTTTTATATTATCATTAATACTGTTTCACAGTTGATTTAAATGAGTGGTTCACTTCAACATTTAGAAATGGTATGAACTAAACACACTTTGATTATCAAGATATCTTAAAATAGTACTGATAATGTAAAAAGAAGAGTGTTCTTTCAATTGATTAATTCAGGATACAATTAAATAGTCTCTTGATGAGATAATTTGTATTTCTGGATTCAAATCAATGAAATAACAGTTCCTGTCCCCTGAAGGTCTTCAGAGACAGGTTGAGGTCGGAGGTCACTACAGTATCATGATGCTTCACGTCAGTTGAACACAAGAAACACTGCACCTGCAGAAATACACTAATGTAAATTTAAAAAATAATCATTTGAACCCATACTGATATATGATTATTAAAATCACATACATCATTTTACTGTAATTATATTAAATACATGGGTTAAATGGGTTAGATAATTTTTTTTAATTCAACCTTTATTTCTACAGGTAAATCCCATTGAGCCTCGAGGACTCATTTACAACAGAGACCTGATTTAACAAAGAATGACGACAACAATGGACAACAGCAACAACAATAGACAAATATAGAAAGGCATACAGATTTTTTTATTAAAAAAAATAAAATAGGATGGCTAAAAAAAGAAAAGTAACAAAAAACAGCTAGAATATCTTCACTGCTGAACGTTACTATAACTTTTTTGACATTTAAATACCAAAACCACCTGATGATGAGCAGAATGAAGTGTCCCACATGTTAGAACCAGCTGTTTCCCTGCATGGCTCCATAATCACTCAGTTTCAACTAACAGCAGAAACACACCTGCTCTCCAACACATTGAAGCGCCTCTAAAATGCTTCATCGTGTTGAAGCTCTCAGTTCGAACCATCTCCACCTGTCACCTGTCAGAATCGAGGCGGTGCAGGGAATCAGCTGTTTGGACCATGAACCAGTCCAGAGATTCATTCCAACAACGAAACAGTTTGTGTTTCGGACGTCACGTGTCACGTGACTTTTTCCGCACCGAAACAAGCTCCGAAGCAGTGGTTCATGTCATTTTACTGCAGGGTTCGAAGCTTTAGTTCCCTACCACCATCACCAACAATCAGCATGAAGACCCCCGGACTACTGATCCGTACGGTTCTGAAAAACATTGACTAACACTGAAACGCTGTTCTCCAACCAGAACCTTTAATCAGACCAGAACCTCTGTCAGAACAGAACCTCAGATTAGAACCTCTGGTCAGAACAGAACCTCAGATTAGAACCTC